CGATTCTCACTTGGAACCAGAGCAATTCACAATTTTGCACTCAATTCATATTATGGGATTGATGCCTTCACTGGACTATTAGCCTATCATCTTCACTGGACCGAAGTCCTAACAATATCACTAGATTGAAGTCCTAAACTATGCCATGAATGCATGATGCACAACATTATAATAAATACGACCGCGGCTAGTCAAAACACATCATCATTCATGACTTCATCACAACATCATCACATCATCAAAATTTACAAAGCATCATCATAACATCATCATATCATCAAAATATACAAAGCACCATCATAACATCATTATATCATTGAAATATACAAAGCATCATCATAACATCATCAAATAACCATAATAAACAAAACATCATTGTAATCCAACACGGAAAACCTAACTTCTTCCTAGCTTAGGTATTGGTAATATACATCTTATTTCTCATTTTATTCTGTCTAACTAAAGTTCCTTGCGTTAGCTATCTAACACTTCGAACGACACCTCAAACCGAGTTCTAAAACTCAAGTTACGGCTCTTTGAACAATCCTACTGCGGCTCGCCGCCTACATCTCGCCTGGCGACGTGGGAGCGACAACCCACCTATTCCATTATGGATACCATTGCCTGACGAAGCTCCTTTCTTGCCTGGAGATACACCCTTCGTGTCTACTTCTCCCGGCGACGGTGCGAGTGACACGCTCCAATAACATCTTTCTTTTATGCCCTTCATCACCTCCATTTTTGCCAAGCGACGCCATCATCGCCTACCGACACTCCTCATCGCCAGGCGACTCTGCACGAACACGATTTTTCCTGTTGCGATTTTCTACATAAAAGCCAGTTTCAACTCTTGCGATTTTGCACCAAAACAGTCACAACCCTCTTAGATTTAAACACCTAATCATCATATAATATCTATACAATATTATAAGCATTATATACTCAAACTCATGGAAATTCTACAAGGTATTTTCACCAATTCCAATACAAATTCATCAATTACAACACAACCATCAAATCACCAAAACCCAACACAACCTACATTTATCTAGACCTTAGATCGATTATAATAACAATGATAAATATCCTCTACCTTAAGATTATTGCTAGCTTCTGGTTCCTCTTCGTGTTCTACAATTCCTCTTTGCCTCTTTATGTCCTAACTTTTGCCCTGCCTCTTACTCCTTTCCCAAAAACTATCGTACATAATAAGCGCTTCTAAAATCTCAATTCTCTTTTGTCTCACTTAACCCTTAGACCCTTAATTGGTCTTTCCCTTATCGCCCTCACTTAACTCTTCTCAAGTGGTCATCATGTCCTCATAATTTCTACCTCATATTTTATTTTTAATTATCTAATTAAAATAATTCTAACTAATTATTCTAATTATTAGAAAATTCTCATAATCTTCTTAATCCCACTACCCCACACATATCATCACATCAAATATCGTATTAACCATTATATTCATCTCATCATCATAAATTGTCACAAGGACTCACATAAAAACACTCAAAACATCACATATATCAAATTCTTCACAATGACTCATATATTCACGCTAAATTAATTAAATAATTAATTAATCTAGAATTCAGAGTGTTACAAGTTCCACTCCTATCATTCTCAAAATTCCTCAAAAGCAAACTAGGGATATCTTGGAAAAAATTTCAACCACCATTTAAATTTTTCCCATGTTTAGCAAGAAGATTAGCACATTCATTTTCTTCCATATAAGTATCATCTCTACGACCAACAAACTTAGCAAAATTATCTCCACCATTAACGGGCTACTACGACCAACAAACTTAGCAAAACCTTCACACCAACTTCCTGATTCATCTCTAATGATCCCCCGCAACAAGAAAAACCATTCGAATCATGGGAACCATCAACATTTACTTTCAAGAACTTCCTCCTTAGACAATACCATTAAATCATCATCTCCACTTGGTTTCGATTCATAATCTTGTTATTAATCATGGAAGCTTCCTTGTAATCCTTCAATCTATTCTCAATACTCTCCTTAACATTTATAATATCTCTAAATTAATATAAAATATATCTCCAATATTCTAACATTAATGAATGAATCTGTAAACTGAACCGATCAAATCTGATATCCATGAATCGCTCGAACCATACATTTTTGTCTCTTTTTCGATTTTCTGATTTCTAACAATCTCAAAACATTGTTTCTTTCTCTTCATCACTTAAGATTTTAAGGGAAACTTTCAGAGACCCTAATACTAAAACAATGTGGTAGTAATGAAAATAAAAACATCAAGAAAAATAATACAACAATCTCTAAGGTTTTGATACAATGGGAAGACATGAGCCAGAAGGATGCATGGAAGGACTGTAATGGCATGGTGAGCAGTAATCCAAACTTTAACCTTCTTAAGGATAAAGTTGATTTTAATGAGGTGATATTGTAATGAGAATGTCACGTGTGAGTGGGAACGGCTGGCCCAAGTTATAGAATTTGCAAGTGCAACAAATTCTTTTATAGATCCACAAAACCAGGAGGTGGGTGAGGAATGTGGATTCCTTCATGCAAGTTGAAGGATTTATACACCTAGTTGAGTATTTATAAGGATTTGGATTGAGAATGTGAGATATCGATGATTTGTGAGAAAACTAATTCTCTTCTTCTTAGGGATATCAACTTACACTCATTAGTGGGAATCCCCGTGGAAATTCCCTGTTTAGGGCTCCAAATATGGAAAATTTTCCTCCCACAGGGACGGAGATGGGGAATAAAGTTTCCCCGAAGAAATTTTGGGGATGGGGATGGCGAACATATCCTTCGTTCCGTTGAGTCCCCGTCCCGCACTAGAATATCATAATATAGTTAATTAATATATAATTTAACATTTCTATGTAGATTTATTGATCATTTCAAATAATTTGTTTTATAAAATGTAAAACACATATGTAATGTTAGTAAAAGAGAGATATCTGAATGATTATTTTAAATTTTGTTAAGTTTGAAAATTTGGTGTTCATGAATCTCAAGATTAAATATTGTTAAAATAATATATTTATTGTAGATAATTAGTTTATTAGTTTCTTGTGGTTAGTTTTTGATTTTTTTTCCTATTAATTTATTTTAAAATAATAAATAAAAAAAATTGTTTATAGATCTTCGCAGAAACTGTGGGGATCTGTGGAGATCCTTAGAGACGGAAATGGAGGACAAAGTTCTCCTATGACGAAGACTCGAGACGAGGATAGAGAGTAAAATCGAAAATGGAGATTGAGATGAGAATGTATCCTCTGCTCCCATTCCATTGATATCCCTACTTCTTCCTTACTCTATAGTTCTCTAAATTCTTAATTCATTCATAAAACTTGCAATTTCCTATTCACTTGTAATGCATACACTAAAAGTTTAATTAAGTCAATAATAATACAATTCCTTTTCCTTCACTTTTTCTGTTATTTATTGCACTAGTGTTTTCATTATCATTGTGTCTGATCAAGCCAGTTTAAAGGAGATTTAACATGAAATTAAGAAGGATGTGTGAGCTCAGCTTAAGAAATTCTTTGATGCCATGATATTAGAGACCATGCAACGATATACAAAGCTGTAAGGGGGTGTTTGTTTCAAGTTTAGAAACAAGATTCTTGGAAATATATGAATAAGAAATGAGTATATCTATGTTTGTTACAAATTTAAAAATAATTATTTTTAAAAATAAAAATTTCAAGAAAAAAAATTATCTTCTCATACCTTCTCATATTCTCATGTAAAAGGATGAGAACGTAGATTCCAATGAAATTTTATATAAAAAAATTTAATTAAAATAGGATGAGAATGTAGATTCCAATAAAATTTTATAATTTTTAAAAAAAATTAATTAAAATTATAATTTTCTAAGAATATCAAAATTTTGCCAAACACTTTTTTTTTTAAAATCCTTGAAATAAATTTTTTATCTTTATTTTCTTGAGTAATTAATTCCTGAAAATAAATTTTAATTCCTTGAAACAAAAGCCCCTTGAATTGAAAGTGAAGATCATTTAGCAAGGACTGAAACAGCAGTAGAATTATTCCAACAACGTGCAACACAATCACATAACGTCCATCATTGTGCTCCTTTTCATGTTCATAAAGTGAAACTCAAATTCCCAAATTCCACGGTACTCGCGCGATTGAGTGGGTTTTCAAAGCATAACAGTTTTTTGACAGATGCAGATAAATGGGTGGTTGCAACACAGTTGTGTCATGGTACCAAATGATGCAATAAACAAATTACTCTAGAACCCGAACAACTCTTGTACGGGCCATATTTTGTTCTTGTTATGTGAGTACTCAAGTCTTGCTTGATTGTTTTGTGAGTGGTTTACAAAGAGAAATGATAGCACAGTCTCATACATCCATTGAGAGATCTGTTGAATTGGATAAACTCTTTGAAGAAAAATGCAAACCCGTAATAAATAACCAAACTAACACTACAAATCTAAACCAAACACCATAAAGAAGCCAAACCCACACACGTAGAAACAATATTGCACCTTTACTTTCAAACAATTTTACCAAAAATTCAAACACAACAAAAAAAATCAAAATGTCAAAGAAACGAGTGCAGATGAGATGCAACTAAAAGAAAGAAAGGCTTGTAGAACATTAACCATAAATGCTAAAACTGAAACCTAATGATACTACAAATTCATGACTCATGGGGAAGAGAGTGATTCAAATGACACTGTGGATAACACTATAACAGAACATGAGGACAGGAAATTGGAAATGCATTTGTGTTTTAATGCATTGAAAGGTGAGAGTGGCATAGGCGCCATTAAATTTAGAGGGCTTTGCTAAAAAAGACAATACGGATTCCACTTATACTACTATAAAACAAAGTTATCATCTTACTTAGCTCAAATAAAAGTCTAAAGTCCAAACTGAAAATTCTAGAGCTCAACAAAATCTGATTTTACTTTTGTCCAAATGACAATAATGTATAAAAATCTAAAATAAAATAGTAATAATCTCACCGACGCTTGTACAAACAAGGTTTAAGTGAGGGCCATTCGATTTCCTTCCTTTTAGAATTTTGCTTTACCTTTTTTGTGAAGTAAAACAAAATAAACATTTTATTTGATAAGTCGCTTTTGACAGAGTTAAATCCTAGCTCTGAAATAGCCTTTGAAAACTTCTCGGGGTCTGCTCCTCCATTGTTTGGATCAAACCTGCTCTTTACTTCAGCAATCAAAAGCCACCCACCTGGCTTAAGCACCCTGTATGCTTCTTCAAGGTAAGTTTGATAGTTGGTTCCCATCAATGAAAGACAAAACACAGCAACATCAGCAGATGAAGAGAATAGTGGAGTATTTGCCATGTCACAAGCAATTACAGTGGGATTGTTGGAGACGAGGTCTAGAGAGAAGACAGTATTCTTCACGCTTTTGGAAATGAGTGCTTCCCCGCAACCAAAATCAGCAACAACAAAAGAAGGGTTCTGTTTTTTCAGCCATTTAATAATAACATCAACGGGCTTTTCTGGCCAATTAGACATTTGTGTTTTGTACCCTTCATGATACAAGTTAAATAGAGATGAATCTTCACGGAAATAATCAAGTGCTTCCTTCCCAGTGCAAGTGTAGAGCTTCTCATTAATCATCCTAAAGTGACCACCAGACAACCTCGCTCGCATCTTTTCGAGAAAGCTGGAAGATTCATTTGACTTTGTACGCTTAGTGGTAGAAGGTGATATAATCTTTTGCTCCTTGTTACTTGGTGATTTATGGTTCTTGTTCGATGCATCATTTTTGCTGTGTCTCTTTCGCTTTTTATTGGTCATTGCCACAGTTCAAATTTCTTTCTTGGACAAAATTACTCAACGGTTCGTGCTGCTACTGGCCTAGGGTCATAAAAAAGAAAAGACTCTTATATATCAAAACAAATTGGGAAACGAAAACAAATCTTATAAGATATGAGAAGAAACTACCCAAAATAAACAAATAAATCAAGATTTAAGTGATAAAAAAAATTTTGAACTAGAAAATATATTGAAAACTTTCATCTAACACAAGATGTGTGAGGTAAAAATAGTCTATATACAAGCTGCATCACACACACCCAAAAACAAACAAAGGGGCGCAACCAATCCCAACAAGAAACCACCAAAGATGACACTCTCAAACACTAATATGCAGTCATGCACCTAAGAAATTCAGAAGATAAGTAAAAAGCAAGACTTGACCACTGCCTGACAATACATAACAGAAAAATGAACCAAAGGCAAAATTAGTTTCACCCACTCCCTCTCCCCGATAAACCTTCGAAACTGCCCGATAAACCTTCGAAACTGAGTTGGAAAAACCACTCAAGCCGGCACTGGCCAAACAGCAGCTGTACCAACAAGACACAACAGCAAAACACGTGACAGAGAAATAGAGAAGCGGAGAACCAAATCGCCACCTCCAGTCTACTACACCATAAAATGGACAGAACAGAAGCCTGTCATGAAGCAAGCCGCAGGATATGCCAGCCTTCTCCGTCACAACAGCAGAAGCACGACTTAAACCAGAACCAAACAGACCGAAGAAACCTAAACTGTCAAAAAATCCAACAATTTCTGATCTAGCCAAAACACCCTTAAGCACTAAGACGAGTTCCTTCTTAAGACAAAAGCTGGGTTTGAACTCCACACGTGACACGGCACTGCGTCCTCTTAAATGCAAATATTCAATTAAGATACCAAAGACACAAATGGATCCTAAACCCATTTCCCATAGGGACACACCGACCACTCCAAATTTTCCATAAACTAGTGGCATGCCATTACTTTGATTTTATCCTCTAAACAACCAACATCATCTAAGTTATTTCAAAAAATCCAGTTGTTCCTCAAATTCCGGATTTCCTAAATTACCGCTTGCCAAATCATACTTAACCCTCTAACCAACCACCTTTGACCAACCCAAATCCACCCTCTAACCACCTCTGAGATTACTTTACAATGAAGAAATAAATGAGTCACACTCTCCGACTACTCGACACAAAAAGGGCACAGAACAGAAGCGTTAGCCAGGAGCACACCTGAAAATTTGCTACATGTTCTCTTACACATGGTGATATCAAACTCTTTCTCACCTCAAAAGGATATCTGTGCTAAATTACAGTACTGAACAGAAAACCCTAGAACCATGAAAAACACAAGATAAAATTAGAGAACAAAACGCAAAAATTGGTATCAAAACACAAACTCCTGAAACAAAAATGCAGAACCAATAACCTAGAAAGTGAATTAGAGTAGGAACGAAAAATCACAAAAAAAAAATGAACCAAGTCACAGATTTTCCATAGAAAGAATATGTTAAATTTGAGTTTCTCACCACCTGTGTGCTTGAATCACGGTGAGGACGGCTGCGTGCTGATTTGCTAGGTTAAACCAAAAGGAGAAGAAACAAACACAAACTAAGAAATAGGACCCTTGGAGGCCAAAATGTGAAACAAAATAAACCAATAAAAAAACCCTAGCCAAAGCTTTCTTTTGTAAACTTAATTTGTATTAAATCATTAATTTAATAATTATATTTTTAAATAATTGATATAAAAATTAATAAATAAAAACAAAAAAATTAATAATATTAAAAAAATTCACGTGTCAGTGTCATGAAATATTTAAATGTTATAGAAAAATTGTATAATTTGTTGGAATTTTTTTACCACACCCAATACCATTGAAAAGAACCCTATGAAAATTAAATTTTGTCTATGTGTTTTTGGAAGTGTATCTCCGGAACGTATCTTTTTTATTGTTAAATTTTAGTTAATCTGGGAGATGTATTTACAGGAGAAAATTGCAAATGTATCACTAGTTAATTAGTGCGGGAAATTGGAAATTTTGTCACCTTTGCATGTCAGATATTTCCAAAAGTATATTTTCGAGAAAATCAAAAGTCAAATTGCTTAAAACAACAACTAGCATGAACCAGCAGGATCATCTTCATTTATAAAAGTTTTCATAAACCCTCTATAAAAACTCTTTCATTCTCAATCAAGTTTTTCACTCCAAATCTTCATTCTTGTGGTTTATCATATCAAAAGGAGTTAAAGAAAATGAAATTTAAGGTAAAGTTCATTCATTTCTGTTGTACTCCAAAATTTTCCTCTCACTTATCAAGATTTTTCTCACAAGACTTCTTAGACTCAAGACAAGACTAGGATTTGGTCAGCTCAAGACATCTCATCTTGCACTGATCATCCAAAATTAGGGTTTGAGTTTGCACAAGGATTTTTGGACCACCAATGCTTCATGTGACTTTCATACATCATCTTGGACCCCTAAGATTGCTCATGTTAAGTTTCAAGCCTTGAACCACATTTTTTATCAGTCAATTGGACAGTTGACCTAAAAATCAGCTGTATTGGGGAAAAAGTCAACTATGGCTAATTTACAGTCAAACTTCATGATTTTTGATCCAAATAAACATTTTAGACTCATATGTACCATTTGATCAAGTTTGGATCACAACTCCTCAAGAAATTTGATCAAATCATCAAAAGGGCAAAATGGTCAAAATTAGGGTTTTGATTGAGAAAGGGCAATTTCTGATTTTTAACCTAGCCAATGACCAACTGGGTTCAAACATGATTTCAAGGGTTCAATGGCATCATCTCGAGCTAATCACATAGTTCAAAAGATCTCAAGTTCATTGGATTGACAGATGAATTTTCCAATCAACTGATCAAAAGTCAATTGTACACTGAAAAGTCAAACTTTGACTTTTTGGTCAAAATCAAATGCCAAGGGTCATAATTCATCAAGATATGTCAAAATATGAAACTTGTTCACCAAGAAAATCAATTTTGAAAATTAGGGTTTTGAATTTGAAAATTTTCATAACTTAGAATTTTTCTAAGTATGAGAATTTTCTTATTTTTTCCCAACTTTCCACCACTTTTTCACCATGATGAAATTTGATTCAAAGAAAACTTCCAACATGAAAGTTGTAGTCCTCCATGAAATATACAACTTTGCTTCACAAACTTTTCCCAAAAGATTCTTGGATCTCAAGTTATGAATTTGTGAACATAGGTCCATGAACTAAATAACTTAGTGAAATTTTGCCCTAATTTAGGCAGGTTTTGGACCCAACTTCATGGACATTTTTCACCTAGTTCCAAGATATATCTCAAAATGTATTTCAAAGATGGATTATAGAGCACATTGCAAGCTTTACAAAATGTCCAAGAACTCTCCAAGATCATTTTTGAAGCTGAAAAGATCATGGCTGAATTGCATGAAGGTACCTTTGGCACTCACTCTAGCGAGCATACGATGGCAAAGAAGATTCTACGGGCAGGCTATTATTGGTCTACCATGAAAGATGACTGCTATCAACACTCCCGGACTTATCATAAGTGTCAAATCTATGCAGACAAGGTGCACGTGCCTCTGGTTCCTCTAAATGTCTTAACAACTCCTTGGCCCTTCGCTATGTGGGGAATCGACATGATTGGCGAGATCAAGCCTACAGCCTCCAATGGACACCGCTTCATTCTAGTGGCCATTGATTATTTCACCAAGTGGTTCGAAGCATCTTCCTTCGCATCTGTTACTAAGAATGTTGTTGTCCGCTTCAGCAAGCAGAATCTTATTTGCCGGTACAGTATCCCCGAAAGGATCATCACTGATAACGATACAAACCTTAACAATACTATGATCATCGCCTTGTGCGAGCAGTTCAAGATTCAACATCACAATTCATCCCCCTATCGGCCAAAGATGAATGGTGCAGTTGAAGCTGCTAACAAAAATATTAAAAAGATCGTACAAAAGATGACAGTCACCTACAAGGACTGGCATGAGATGCTACCATTTGCTCTCCACGGGTACCGTACCACGGCACGCACGTCAACTGGGGAAACACCCTATTCCTTGGTTTATGGCATGGAGGATGTTTTACCTATTGAGGTTCAGATCCCCTCCTTAAGAATCATGAAGGATGCAGGTTTGAGTGAAGACGATTGGATCCAGACCCGACTTGATCAACTGAACTTAATTGACAAGAAGAGACTTACTACTGTTTGCCACGGTCAGACGTGCCAAAAACAGATGATCAAGGCTTTCAACAAGAAAGTCAGACGCCAGGTATATCAAGTTGGAGATCTAGTGATCAAGCGCATCATCTTTCCACAAAGTGATCCCAGGGGCAAATGGACTCCTACCTATGAAGGACCATTTGTAATCAAGAACATCTTTTCTGGTGGGGAATGATCTTAACCACCATGGATGGCGACGACCTGCCACACCCTACAAACACAGACATAATCAAAATATACTACGCATAAGAGACCCGCTAGGTTGACACACCTAGGCAAAACAAGGGCATCCCGGCGAACCAAAAAGGTTCGGGCAAAAATTAGGGATAAAATAAAAAAATTTGTACACCCAGCAAGTTGAAAAGCCAAAAGGGAGACTTGGGCAAAAAAGGGTTTCCCGATGGACTGAAAACCCGCAAGGGCGGTCCAGGCAAATGTTAGGGAATTAAAGCATATAACTATGCCTCGTCGGATCACTTTAAGGACTATCTCTTCACTGCCAAACTCTTAGCTTCTGATCAATTCAATCATCTTCGAACGAAGCAACGGACATACAAGATATTCAGAGATACGGAGGCTATAGCAGAATGGGAGCCCCCTGGGATTGTCACACATAGCTATCTTTCTTTGTATAAATTTTTCTTACTTTTATGGCACCATCCTCTTACTAGGATGACTGTTTCCTTTGTACAAAATACTTATTCAAAGTAAATACAAAGATATCTCTTTCAAAGTACAGAAAACCATTTGCCTTTTTCTTTACACTTGTGTTTTTATTTGCAAAAAACGTCCAATGATTCATTAATGAACATATGCATTTGAACATAATTACTGTTTACAAATAAACAAGGTGGAAAAGAACAATTACTGACAGGTTGAAAGGATAGGAAAATGTCTTTAGGTTATTCCATGAGCAATCCCTACAATACATCATCTAGATCCCCAGTGGAGCCAAAACTTCAAACTATCAATCCCCAGCGGAAACCATCAAGTTTCTCTAAATTCCCCAGCAAGTTATCTTGAAGCCTGAAAATCAACCAGATAACAGTTAACTTTTGTCTCTCCCCAACCTAGGATAACTCCCCAATAGAGTGGAAGACGACCGAAACTCTTGAACTTTTTCTAAACAGGAATAAGTTTTCTTCCCCGTAGAGTTTTCATTGCTCCCCAACAGAATGAAGATTCTCTTTATTAATTCCCCGCAGAAGTCATCAGAGTTTTCTTTATTCCCCAGTGGAACAAGGATTCCCATTGTGTAATCCCCAGTAGAAGTCATTAAAATTCTCTGGATTCCCCAAGCGGATTACTCAAGCAGTATGGCATTGCTCGCAACAGATTTTTTTGTCAATACTCCATGGATCCCTATATCCCCAGAGAAGTCGCCAAGGATTTCTTATCCTCAACAATCAAGGATTTATTATCCCCGACAGCAGTCAAAGGTTTATTTTCCTCAGCAATACAACAAATCAGCTTAATGCACATACATTACATCCATATATCATAAACATTGATAAAACACATATATTGCATCATACATTTCATGCAACATAACTTTGTTTTTCAGTTAACATTTTACCCTTTTCAGGATAAGATTAACAGCTACCATTGACAATGTTCAAAGATTTCAAGATACAGTATAGATACACTCCAAACGCGGAAGTCATTCTGTTACTCATTCAGATCTCAATTCAAGATACAGTACGGATACGCTCCAGATACGGATGCTATT